AACTATTATTAGCCTTAACTGCCTTGCTTACTTCAATGAAAACTAATTTCAACTGCTTTCTTACCTTTACAGATCGCACGATCGTGAGAGCGGCGACTATGCTGGCTCCATTTCGGATTTACAAAGCGTTACCTCCAGACTGAGCACCGTTTCGGTGAGTAAGCCAAAAAGCCATTAGACGCAGCAGCTCATTTAGCTTGCAGACACACACACACAGACACACGTCTCTCTGTGTATGTGTGTGTGTGTGCGTGTGTTTGCGTCTCAATGCGTCGTCTAAATTGATTAAGTGCACTTAGTGACAAACAAAGTTCGCAACGAGCTGAACGAGCAGGAAGAATAACAAAATGCACGTAGAGTCTGAGTGCGAGCATAAAAACTGGAAAAGCTTTTTGGCCAACGGAAGAGAGAGCTGGCCAAACAGAGAGAAAAGTTTTCTTTTTAGCCAGCCGGCAGCCACTTAAGCCCGGCTAAACGATGTCCATGTCCATGTCGATGCTGGCTGTGCCTGTGCCTGTGCCTGTTGGCCATTTCATTTGCAAAGGCGACTTGACTCCATTGCAGCTTTTTGGTTAATACGAAACGCGTTTAACTTTCCACTTCTTCTACTTTTTCTTCCTCCTCTTCTTGTTCTTCTTCTGGTTCTTTTCGCTGCCTTTGTGGCTCCATTGCAACAGATTGGCACCAACAATTGCACCGCCAGATACCGGACGCTGAGTGGAGGCGTCGGCGAGTCGCCGTCGCTGTCCCCGAGCCCCTCCTCCGACTACGAGGACATCGGCGCCACAAGGCACGGACTGCCGCCCAGTTTTGCAGCCAAGGCCAAAAAGAACGGGCTGCCGCACAAGGCGAATACGATTTGCCAGAAGGCCATGGTGCATCACGTAAGTTAATTAATCAGTATTGCATGTGTCTGCATGTGTGTGTGTGTGTGTGTGTGTGTGTGATTGCAATTGCATTTGGATTACACGAACAACAGCAACAACAACAACAACAACAGCTTCAAGCATATTGACTCGTGAGCTGCAAAATGTAATTAGCTTGGCCATTTACATATGCGCCTGATTGGAATTTGTGAGCGACTCGCTCTAAGCCACTTGCAATTTGTCTACGGCCTAGCCAGAAAACGCCGCCCGAACAAGGCTCAAACAACATGGCCGAAAGGCGGAAGAGCAGGAGGAGCAGGAGGAGCGTGAACATGCACTCTAAATGCAAATGCCAGTTAAATGAGTTTTTATACGCGCCCCACAGCCAACAGAGAGGAGCCCCACAGAGTCCTGCTCTGGTTGGTTCTCAAAACGGGGGAAAATAAGAGAAAAAGTGAAAGCTCATTTTCAGTTTTGGCCACGATTACTGTGCGCTGCAGTTGGCAGAGCTTGAACTCGTTGCTTGCAATAAAAATGAGAAAATCTGAAATTCTCATAATTTTCCAAATGTCTCTCAATTGACATTTAGCTTTTCCTTAAAACCCCTAAATGAAGGAAAATATTTGTAGATATCAAATATGTGATTATATTTTGATTTACATTGAATTCACTTTTGGGTCTCTATGGATTGCTCTCGTACTTTCCGAATCTGTCCTGTTTGTTGGGCGGCCGGCGATCATGCTCCTTGGGCTCATCGGGCCGGATGTGAAAGTTCTTGAAGCCGTAGTCTCGCTTCTCCTGATCCTCGGAGAACTCGGCCCTCGCAATGTTGCTGGCGGGACTGCCGGTGGTGCGGAGCCACTCCTTCATCAGGTTGAGCTCGGTGCGCGGTCCCTCGATGTAGCCCTTGACCGTGCCGTCCGCCGTATTCATGCACCAGCCGCGCAGTCCCAGCGTCTTGGCCTTCATCTCGGCATGTCGACGGAAATAGACGCCTTGCACTTTGCCAAACACTTCAAATTCACACGAATGGACGGTGGCCATTTGAGTACCAGATGGAATCCCTTACGGGACCCTCAATGGCATCAACAAAAAAAAAAAAAAAAAATTTTTTTAAATAACAAAAACTACAAATTTTTAGACAATTTTTGAAAACATTTTTCCGTGGAAGCGCCTGGAAGTTGCTAGAAATTGCAAGGCTAGCTTAACAGAGAAAAATACAGGGTATTTACTAGTCATAGCCATGTTGTTGGCTACTTGAAAAAAGCAGGAGCTGCAATCGACGCCTAGGCCTCTTCACTGTGCGAGATATGAGCAAAGTTTTTGGCCAGGCAGCGGCTCAATATTCACTGTCAAGCCAAACACAAAAAGGAAGAAGAAGACCAATGCCAAAGCCGGAAGCACTGCAGCCAAATTCAAGACCCTTCCCCCAAAAAAAGGACAGCCCAAAGGCAGTGTCTGCAGCTGTATATGTGTGTGTGTGTATGTGTGTGTGTGTATGTGTGTGTGTGGGAATTTGTGTGGTAGCATTAAACTTTTTAATGATTTAACTAACAAAACTTTTGCTCTATTCCATGCGCCCTCCGCCTGCCGACCCCGCCCGGCTTAACATGCAATTTATTGCACAACTCGATGACGACGACGACGACGACGACGACGACGACGGCGACGAAACAACTTTCACTCTGGCTGCACAGTCGGGCGAAATGCGTAGCTCGCCAAAGGAAATTGGCGCATTTAATGAGAATGGACGAAACTTTGTTGCCACAAAGGATACATCAAGGGATTTCAGCAATTCCCAAGATAATACCGACCGTGGCAGCATGAGCGATCAGGCGTTTGCATGTTCCGCCAGCTCCGTTGAAAGTTTGCCCAGTGCATCCGGTTCGAGTGAGTACAAAACTCTATCTATGTGTTTAGATATCTACATGTGTGTGTGTGTGCGTGTGTGTGTGTGTGCTTACAATTTAGATTTTTGATTTTGCCTTTGCATTTGGTTTTCCTTTTGCTGTGGCCCTTCGGCCTGGGGTGGCCCCGGCTTGTTTAGAAAAATTCCCCGACTGCCGCCCAGCGCCACGCCCAGCTGGGCTCGTGCTGCATATTGGTCTATTAACAGTTGTAGTTGTTGCTGCGGTTGTTTTGCAACCGCTGCACAATAACTTGAAATTCTGCAAACTTAATGAATTTTTAATGCACTTGCGCACAGTCAAGTGGCAAGTGGCAAGAGCGAGTGGCAAGTGGCAATGTGGCAAGTGCATTGGCCAGGCCATGCAGCCCGATGCAATGTCTAGGGCGTGGTTAAATAAAGGGCTGCCGCTGCTGCCCTAGCTGCCCTTGCTGCTGCTGTTGCTCAGTTTTTAATGAACAAAAGTTTTCGCTATATGCGCAAATTTCTACTCTAAATAAAGAAGAAGAAGAAGAAAAAAACAAAACCAAAACAAAACAAAAAGCCAGAGCAGCTGTAGCAGCGCCAGCAGGAGACGGCGGCCAGCGGGGTTGCAGGAGCAACTTTGAAAAGTGCAAGAAAAAATACTTTATTTTCATGTGGCCAGGACACAAAGCAAGGATTAGCCAAAGCTTTGGCCAAAAACTTCAAGTGCTTATTTGAATATTTTTTGGGCGAAACGAGCTTTGTGTCTGAGACCCTCTCTCTATCTCACTCACACGCACACACACACACATACAGAGAAAGTGTGTAAAAATATTTGAAAAGTTTTTAATTAACCAAACGAACTGTTTGTGTGCGTGCGTGTGTGTGTGTGTGTGTGTGTGTGTGTGTGTGTTTGTATTTCGTGCTCTGCCAAATTCTTTAGCCCTTGGCTAATTGGCTGTGGGCGCATTAATTGGAAAATTTTCTGGGCAAACTTCCATCGAAATGTTGTCGAGACAAATATTTAAACGTAAAACCATTCTATTTTGGCAGGCACTCAAGCTCTAGTGCGTCCCGGCAGCCCACACAGCTCCATTTCAGCCGAGGATCGCGCCTCCCTGGCGTCCATTTGCAAGGCCAAGGCACTTGTCGACAGTCTGCCCAATCCCTACGACAAGGAGGCACTCAAATTTAAGGTAAGCAGACGCTCCCTCCCTCTCTCCCCCTCGCTCTCTCTTTCACTCTCGTATAACATGCTGTTTGCTTTTGCAGAAGGGCGACCTGATCGATGTGCTGTCCATGAATGCGTCGGGCATTTGGAAGGGTCGCTGCCATGGCCGCGTGGGCCACTTCAAGTTCATCAACGTGGAGGTGCTGCCCGAGCAGCGCATGAAGAACTCGAGCAGCAAGACCCTGGCGCCCGCCTCTCGACTGGCCAACAGCAACAACGGCAGCGGCAACGCGGGACCCAGCACGGTGGAGGATCTGCTGATACGCATCGGGCTCAAGGAGTACACCTCCGTCTTTGTGCTCAACGGGTAAGTGGTGTAGATGAAACAAATTTCACAACAATTTTTTGTTGGATTGTTTCACCTATCGTTCCATTTGCAGCTACGAGGATCTGGAGCTGTTCAAGGAACTCGAGCCGGCCGATCTGGACTATCTGGGCATACTCAACCAGGAGCATCGCGCCAAGCTGCTGACGGCCGTGCAGCTGTTGCACGACATTGAATGTGAGTATTGGTGTCCTGCTCTCGCCTTGCCCCATGCCTAAAGCCAAATATGTGAACCACAATGCGACCCACACCCACACCCACACCCACAACCACGACCACAACCACGCCCACTCTCTCACACACACACGTACTCACACACAGCTACAAATTTCGCACACACAGGCTCCGACATGGACATAGCCGGCTCCAGCTCGGAGAACGACGAGGCGCGCCTGAACAACATCAACAAGAAGCACGGCGCCTCGCCCTTTGGCCGGCGACACTTTCCACGGGACTCCGGCTGCTACGAGGGCTCGCCGCTGCCCAGCTCCCAGACGCCCACGCAGACGGTAAACTCGACGGACGACTCGAACAGCCTCGACGACGTCGTCTCCAAGTGCTCCAGCGAGATAATGAAGCGCGTGGAGAGCGCGCGGCGCTGCAAGGAGAACCCGTTCAAGGCGACGCTGCCGGCGCGAGTCGGCAAGAAGTCCTTTCTTGGCGGCGGCAGTCTTATGGGCGACGATACGCTCACGCGTGGCGGCCTCAGCGAGAAGTCGAGCGACTCGGGCGTCAGCAGCAGTTCGCTATCGTCGGGTCCGCTGAAGAGCAGCACTTAACATTTGCCAACCATACTCGCCCACGAGCTGCTGCTGGGCGTGGGCCAAGTGGGCGGCGGCAGCAGCGTGGGCGCCACCTCGCCCACCACCTCGGTCGCCTCGGCTGGCATGCTGGGCTGTCCCAGCGGTGGCATCGGCAATGCCGGCCTGAATGTCGCGGCGCCGCTTGGCAACATCTGCAACACCCTGCCGCATGCCCCGTCCGGCGGCAGCAGCACGATGGGCCTCGCCAGCAATCTGCCGCTGAACCGCAATCTGGTGATGTTGCGCAATCATTTGCGCAAAAATACAAGTGGAAATGCATCAGCCGCACTGCAGGACGACAAGGATCAATAACAACCCATTTATTACATACAGATTTTAGTTTAGGTTCTCGATACTTCAGTTAGATATATGTATGTATTTCAATTGCTGTGATTCGATAGTGAAAAAAGGCCAAGACGCGTCTTTCAGTTCAAATGTATAGTGTATAGAGACAGATAGATAGCAACAGAGCGTGAGAGAGATAGAGAGAAAGAGAGAGAGAGCGAGAGAGTGAGCACATTAAGCAAAGTCAGTTAGTCAGTCAATCCTTCCTCCGATAATGTTGGCATTTATATATATACTCTTACATATATATATATATATATATTTACATATATATATATGTAAACAGACAGAGCTATATACTTAGTAATTGTAATGTAATCAAATCGTTTAACTATTTTTAGTTAGCCTGATGTAAAAAAAAACAAAAACATTTTCTCATTTGCCATTTTTTGCCAATTGCTTTCTATGTATATTTCGCAACGTGATATTGTCAAACGTCCAACTTGAATTGCAGTTTTTAATCGATGAAACCACATTTTAATTAACACGAGGGAACGGGCCGAAGATATTTCTATCTATAAATAACTCAAGTTGATTCCTATATTTATGGCACAACGGCTGCCGGCAATAGACCAATTACATTTTAAAACCAAAATATTTACACGAAGCAAACGAATTTGCCAATATTTATAATTCTCTAAAGAGAAACTTGATTGAATTTTAAGTATGAAAATCACACACACACACACGCATGTACACTCACATCATGATGTATCCGTCAAAGTTGTATATTTGGGAAAATCAGCTAAGGGAAAATTGTATGCTAAGCAATATAAATTGGTAAACGTAGACTCCGGACAAGCGAGCTGTATATAGTAGAGGTATTCTTGTCACGGGAGTGTCCATGAATGCCATTTAACAGTTATACAGATACAGATATGTAATAATACTAAGTGCATAGATACATACATATATACATATTTATATATATATATATATAAAAAACTATTAGCAATTGCCAGCTATTTAGCGATAATCAAAACGAAAAGGACAATGAAACGAATTGGATGGCAGATTTTATTGATTTCACATTAAGCAATTAGTTAAATAAATCAATACAAATACTTCAAAGCGAGCACAAAAAGAGAATATATATATATATATTTAAACTATATCATAGCGCATATGAATATCGAATACCAATTGACTTTATGTACATTTGAGACAGACGCGAAAATCCAATTCCGAAATGCTTTTAATCATAATTAAGCAAAATTATAAATATATATATACACACACACATAAATATTCATAAAATTAACTAAAATTAAATAATCCCAAAAACTTAAATAAAATTTTATAATTAGTCCAAACAAAAAACAAAACAAAAAATGAAAGAAATTATTAATTGCGCACGTGTTAAAGCCAGAGAGTAAAAATATTCTTATGTAGGCATTTTGAATTTTTATTTATCTAAAAGCATAAATTTAAGTGTTTCAACTGTAAATTATATTAGAGAGAAAGCAAAACAAATGCAGAATGCACAAGAGCCACATGCAGCATGTGCGAAAACTTTCCATTTATCACTGTAAAATTATGTAATTAAATTCAAATATGTAAGCAATATTAAAGTTTAAAGTAACAAACAAAAACAAAAGTGAGCAAAAAAACAAATACCTAAGGCATCACAAAGCAGTTTCAGGCAAGCTAACAAGTAAATATAAAAATAAAAAACATGAGAAAAAACAAACTAAAAACAATCTTAGAATTCATTAGCACACACAAACTAAGGCAGTCAGCGAACTTTAACTCTCCAGAGCTCCCCACATTTTAGAAGAATTTCAAGCAAAACTCAAGTAAAGAAAGCAACAAAAAAACTCAAAACGAAACGAAATGAGAGAAAGAGAGAGAGAGCGCAGCACGCAGCTAGCTGAGCTATGAAAGTTTATGCATAAATCAAATAAAAGTCTTAAATAAAATTGAACATATCTAAAAAGTAACTGAACGTCTTAATTATTTAACTGGATCGAGCCGAGCCAACAGGTAAGAGAAATGCCTCTGCCAGAGTCAAGGCTGAATAGCTTGATTGAGACTGATTAGCAGCAGCAGTCTATATCTATTTATCTATTTATCTAAATATAGCCCACTCTATATAATATAGACTACTTAGGTATGGCTATGAAGCAGTCAATCAACATTGAAGTATTCATGTTGTGCGCTACAAGAATCACATACATATATCATATATATATGCAACATTAACTATTTTTAGGCTCTATTTTCTTTTATTCCACATAGATTTAATAGAAATTTATCTGCTAATTAGTATCGCTTGAGTTCAAGCATTGTAGTTAATATGCCAATTGGTGCTATGTATTTACTTGAGTGGATGGAGATGCAGCCTTGATCAAAAGAAACCGCCTAAATGACTTTATTCGCCACTCAGAGATCGCTCGCACATTTACCTACAAGTGTTGGATTTCAATGACATTGAATGAGCGCTTCAGTTCGCATTAACGCTGATTACGCTGCTTCAGCTACACGTGAGCAAAATATAAATTAATGTATGTACATGCACACATACATACGCATGCATATATAATATGTGTGTATGCATGTGCATGTATATGATCGGGTAATCTTATCATTTAAGGTGTCGCGCCTACCCGAAATGAGTATGTAAACAATTCATAAAGCTCTAGTAACCGGCCAGGCAGCTGATCCGCTTGCTCGAAGGGCGGGAGGGAGGTAGGTAGGTGGGGGGCAGTGGTTGGGTGGTTGAACAGTTGAGCGGTTGGATGGCTGCTGACGTTATGGCCCCTGTTGTCGATGAGGCGAAACGGCTTCAGTCGTAATCTGTGCTGATGCTGATTAAATTTACTACACTCGTGGAATAGATCTATCTCTAACCTACACACACACACACATACACACACACACTCGCACATGCATAATGCATTCTGATGTTTATTCATAGAGCACTTGTAACCGATCTGAGAACGAACTTTATGCTGAAATTTGGCATATACATATGTATTTACACGATTTTTTGCGTCTGTTTTTTTTTTATCATTTTCTGTGCACATAGTTTTTGATGCCGCCTGCTCGGGCGGGAAGTGAAATTGCGCTTAAGTGGTTTAGTAGATTGTTAAATTGCTTTTGTCTTTCTGCCAGCGGATAAGTAAATGAAAATATGAAAATTGATATTATTGCATTGCACAAACTATGTAGACTTTATCTCATTTTCTGCCACATTTTGCGCTCAGTCTCAGTTTCAGTTCCAGCGGCTGTGCGTTCCGAGTCGGAGTCAACGCAGAACCAAAGCGCATAAATAATAAATTCTATAATCCAATAAAGAAATACCAGAGATAACCAGACTATATGCATATATATTAATATATACTTGCATAAATGAGTAAATACTTGTATAGTCCACAGGGTAAAAATACTTTAAGAGCAGAAAAGAGTAAAAGTGGAGTGGAAATGCTTTTACCCAGCAAATTGACAGTAAGATTTAAGGCATCTGCCTAGCAATGTCACAAAATTAACTGGCTCAATTGGCGGCTTATCCGGTTAACAGCATCGCTTCAGGCACACGCAACTGCAGGCTATCTAACCCGAGCTCTAGATTTACGGTGCAGTTGCTTGCAGAACTTGACATCTGAGTGTTATTCTCTTACTCACCGATTAAAAACCAATTTTTATAACTTCAAAAGAAAAATCCCACTCCATAAAAGAAAATAACAAAACGGAAACTAGAATAAAGCTGAGGGATTTACGGGATTAACTCACAAATTGATGAACATATGTTCACTTGACTATATAATCTATGAGTAACTATTAAAGCAGTCACACATATAAACAAGAAAATGACTAATATAATTGAAAAGTATATCAATTAATACTCTGAAACAAGTGCAAATCACATTTGACAGGATGAGTTGGATTCCTGATATATTGACCTGACCAATGATTAGAAATGAAAACACTGTGCCTCATAAATCAAGTCATCGTTATTCTATTGAACTTATCAGTGTTTCTTGTCTAATACGAAACCTCTCGAGTCGAAAATGTGTCGTAGTTAGCATGTGACTTGCAACTTGCAGCTGCTTGGACAATGCATCTGGGAATGGGCTGCATTACTGTTGCCTCTGGTTAATTGTTTGAGAAATGCTTGGTTTACTTTTAGTTAATCGTTAGGCGAGCGCATATAAATAACGTTGTAAACTAAAGTCTCACGCTTATCAGCAATTATTTGATAATGCCTTCGCGCTCTGTCTCTGCTGATAAGCCGCCTCCTACAGAGGGCCCTTTTAACGCCGGCAGTCGCCTGGGACGTCACTCACAGCGACACCCGCGAGTGTTCCGGACGGTGCATGCGTTGATCAAGAACCCGCCGCGATCTTAACCATATCAAATCATTTGCATGCGAAATGTGAAGAGTGTAAACCGAGAATATCCCAACAGGAGAACTATGTATAATCGAGCCAATGGCAAAGCCGAATCTTAAGCCATAATCAGAAATTTCAATTTGATTTTCAACTGCAGCAGCAGCAGATCTTATCGCAAAAAGTTCTATTAATTTTCTTTTAGTGTACGGGCCTATAAAGTTAATTGGTGTTCACGAGTGTGTAAACAAACCCCATCGATTGTGAAATCTTACCTGTAATTGCCTTTAAAACTACAAGACGCA